AAACCTGAAGCACCAGAGTCCGAGACCTCCTGACTTTTAGTCCGTACAACGTCTCTCGCTCCAAACTTCTTGGGTCCTATACTCAGGAGCTAAATGTCTTTTATTTTAAGGACAATGGCAGTGACAAGCGATTATTTTCTTCATAGAGCTAAACGTCTATTTCTGGTGATATTTAAAAAGTTTGGGGTATTCAGCAAGAGTTATTGCTGTTCTGAAAGAATTTCTGAAACCCTCAAAGACTCCTCCAACCATCTGGATGAAAGAACATTTTGTTTGATGCACACGGCATCAATTCTCTACACGCCTTCCCTTCCCTGTCACCTGCTAGACTAATGACATCAGGCTCGATTGCAACATACTGATGCTAGCATTTAGCTCAAAGCACTGATGGTCCCTATTTGACAACCCTCTTGTATAAGTAAAACATGAGTAACACAAAACAATGATGTTCTGTTTTGATCAGCACTTACTATATTTTCTCACTGACACCACAGTAGGAGACATTTGCTTGTTCCTGTCATCCTGGGAGCTGTATTGTCTGGAGCAATAGCTTCAGGTAGGGTCTCCCATGCCAAATAAGTCCCAGGGTAGGGACTAGACAATGAGCAATTCAGAAAAGCCCGGTGAAATACAGTTCTTAGAGCTGGAATTGGAAAACTGGAGCCCTCACCAAGAGATGGGTGCCAGGCATAGTTTTGGGGTGTGGAGCAGCCTGGGCATGTCCTTTTGGATGTGTTCTGGGATGGCCAACTAGGAAGAGACCCTGGGGTAGACCTAGAACCTGCTGGAGAGATTATATTTCTCATCTGGCTTGAGAATGCCTCAGGATCCCCCGGTAGGAAATGGAAAGTGTGGCCAGAGAGAAGGATGTCTTGATTACCATGCTTAGCCTGCTGCCACCATGAGCCGTCTTTGGATGTGGAAGATAATGGGTGGACTTACATTTTTTGGAATTCATTTCAAAATGTTTAAAAAGTCTTTCTGTGTGATGAAAAGCACACTTAAATAGT